TCATCCCACCACGCCTACAGAGCCTTTATCTCTCAGTACATTCATTGCCCATTACCAAAGTAGCTGAATAATTTCTCAATAAATTCCATCAAGTTTCCACCTCTATTTTCCTTTCAGCTCCACAACCCTACTTAGCTTTGATTTGCAGGAAAAGTGGGGAAACTGGGAGAGAAGTCCTTCAAGTGAGTTTGTAGCAAAAGACCACTGAAGTTAATGAGACTCTAGTGGAGATAAGGATTTTGTCCATTCAGAGTCAACAGCAGCTTCAGAAACTACATACGGCAGGCCAAGGCTGGGAAAAGGATGTTATTTCTCCACCTTGTTTTCAGATAAGGAAACAACATTCCAAGAGGAATGAGTGATTTACCCACAGTCGCACAGGAAATCAGCAAGAGATATGGAAATCAATGCTGAGAAGCAGTTCAGTGCTTTAATCATAAACCCAATCTTTTCCCTCAAATGCCAACAGCGTTCAATGTTCCTTTTCAATAATGGAATAAGCAAAAGGGTTCCACTGACATACAGGAATGTTTCCATCAAAATATTTTAGAGGGCAGCCTGTCAAAATGGTTGGTCAGTATTGAGAGCTATGTCCGACTGCAGCAACCAGCAATTGTAGGGACTAGGGCTTGTAGCTGGACTAAGTTTATTTGCGAGATCCCTTTGAGGATCAGGTCATGCTAAGATCAGAAAATGCAAGGTCAAAGAGCATGAGATGTGTTTTTATGTTTACCTAATTAGGTAGGCTTTGAAAAGTGTGGACTGAAATACTCTCTCGCTGGGAAGCTATTAAACTGTTCCGCTGAGGAAATACACAGCTTAGAATAGGAAAGATTCCCATCTCTTGCCTACAAATAAATCACTCAGACATCATCTACCTCTTTGACCACCTCTGAGTAGTATTTATATCTATGTGACATCTAGGTAACTGCCTGTGGAAGCACATTCTGCATAAATACATACCAGCCTGGGCCAAAGTCTGTTTTTATTTAAACTGGCTACGATTCATTGTGTCTTAATTGAAAATAATGGTGTTACAGCAGTGATCAAAGAATTGTCTCCATTAATTGTCTGCTAAATCATCAGCTATTAAACAGAAATAAAAGGTTAAGAATGCAACACTCTGTTCTGCCCAAAAGAATATGAATATCTCTGCAATTACAAAGAAACAATAAAGGCAGAATTAGCAGCGAAAAGAAGGTTAAGATTAGGCAATTACATCCAAAATGCCTGACAACTCCTATTAGAGGGTTTAGCAGTGTGACCTATATAGAAATGGCAACACAAATTTGGAAGCAAAGTCAATACTGATTTTAGCAAAGGGGCTTGTAAATGGAATACTCATTTTGCTGACAAAAATGTAGGCGCATAAGCTCTGTACTAAATCTTACCTCAGGTAATTAATGGTTATGGATTCAATCCTGCAACCAATACATGTATTTCAAGTTAAAAAAATGATACCTGAATGGCATTCAGTCTGAGAGCACCTCTCACGAATTTGTGATTGAAATCCACTATAGGCATAATGTGATTTTCACAAAAATAACACTACTCCCATTTTATATCACCAGGACAATGCAGAATAAACTCAGTCAAGACCACAGTCAGACCTCTTCATTAGGTACCAGCTCTGGGAAAGAATCCCAGAGCTGTTCTCTCCTTTCTGTCAGTGATTTGATACCCAAGTAATTTACACGGGAGTCAAATGAAGCCCTGATTTGTACCAACTTACACACTACCAAAGCCAAAAAGAATTGAAAGTGCAAATCTTGTAAAGCCTGTGCAGAATTTTGGCCTGTGTTTTGCTCTGTGCTGAATTAGATCACTGAAAAGAATGGGAGGATGCTCATCAGCTTGAAGGTGCTTTGGAGCAGATCTAATTCCACCCGGATACACAACCCATTTTGAAAAACCAAGAGAGGACGATGGTCAAAGACAAGAGCTTTCCTTTCCTGAAGTGTGTAACTCCACAACCACAACTAGAAATCTTGTCTCTGCTCACAGAGGTCATGGCAAGCCTTGCTTAGTTGCCAGCTTCATACCTTTGAAATTTGGGAACCATAACAACCAGAACTGCTGACTGAACCAAATGGACTTTCAACAGGCAGCTTTCTGAAATGCAACATCTCCCTAATGTTGTCTGCAGGTATTAATTTTATTAGTGGAGAAAGGAGTATTTTCCCTGATCTTTTCCTATCTTGCTCAGTTCAGTATTCTCTAACTGTGTCAAGCCCAAGGAAAATTAATAGAAAGAAAAGCTTAGATCTGGATCTGGTTTTCTGAAGTGCACAGAAAAGACAGGCTCAGCAATATGTTGATGATATATAACTTGGTGCCGGAGTTCATAATATGAACAATTCATTGTTCATATTTATCAACTGATAAATAACAGCCATTAATCAAATAATAGCTGTACAGTACACTGCAAAAAAGAATAGCAAAATTTATCAGGAGAGTCTTTTCCTTTGACAACTAAGAGAGTCATAAACAGTCATTCATGTTCCTTCTGGTAAGGACAAAATTTGGTTTACAGGAAAAGAAATACTGATTTTTTTTCCCCCTACCTGATATATATGGGAAAATATACAAAATCACAGGCTAGAGACTCAAGAAACCTATTCCATCACTGGCTGAGGCTAAACACTGGAACAGTCACTTCCACGAAAAGGGAGTATCACACTAATGTCCTTTGTAAAACACTCTGAGGTCTGAAAAACACCAAGCATTGTAACTGAGCCCCAAGCTATCATCTTGTCTGAGGATACAACAGCACACATGCCTCTGCTCAATAATCTGAATTTTATTTATTATTTCCCTTCGTGATAAATGGAGCTAAATCTTACTGAAACAAGTCAGAAGTAAGCAGAGATTGCCTCACTAAGGCTTTTGCCCAAACCCACCCTGCCTCTCCTATTGCTACCTACATCTTTCACCTACCTACAAGTCTCTCAAAGGAAATACCTACAAAGTTACAGTAGCTCTGTAATCTCTTTAACTGCAAAGTAATATCTTTGTTGTTGAAGCTAAAATGCAATGAAATTTTGTTTGGTTTAGAGAATTAAATTTATTCCAAAAACTGGTAACAAGCTTATTCAGAGTTGTCACAAGGTGCATTTTTTTGTTCCAGCATATCATCTTCAAAATAAATAGCACTGCAGTGTGCAATTCCTTAGCCAGCTAAAGAACATGGAAATTTATCTGACAAAGTACAAGCTATCTATTGGGACCTTTGCAGCCCTATCTACAAAGAGGTTATAATAATAGGTTAGAAGCACACAGGTACAGGATGTGGGTTTCAAATCCAGTCTGAAGAGAACTTAAAGAAGTGCTCAGGTCTGGAAAACATTCACACAGAACACAATTGGTAGCTAGAATATGGGGAGAAAGTTTTTTCTTGAAAGCTACAGAGACAGTTTATTTTAAGAACTATAGGTTATAGGATTACTGTGTAAAAAGGGTGACCACACTACCCTATTTTTATAGCATTTATATATAAAATGTACTGTATTTTCCTGGAATTGAAACAAAGGAACTATCTAGGACTACCCTAAGAAACATATACATATATACATACATATATAATGACAAAAAAAAGCCCACCCCTACAGAATTCATTGTAGTCAATTCTTAAGTTTATTTCATTAAGTTAAATCTCATGGATTGAGATCAGCCCTGAGGAGAAAGACCTGGAGGTGTTGCTTGACAAGAAGCTCATCATGGGCCCAAGCCAACTATTTCCTGGGCTGCAACAAAAGGAGCATGACCAGAAGGTCAAAGGAGGTGATTCTCCCCCTCTACTTCACTCTAGTGACATCCCCCCCTGCAGTCCTGCATCCAGTGCCTAAAGGGGCTGACAAGAAAGTTGGAAAGGGGTTTTTGACAAAGGCCTGTAGGGACAGGACAAGAGGAAATGGCTTTAAACTGACAGAGGTCAGCTTACATCAGAGAGATTTAGATTAGACATTAGGCAGAAGCTCTTCCCTGTGAGGGTGCTGAGGCGCTGGCACAGGGTGCCCAGAGAAGCTGTGGCTGCCCCATCCCTGGCAGTGCTCAAGGCCAGGTTGGACACAGGGGCTTGGAGCAAGCTGCTCCAGTGGAAGGTGTCCCTGCCCATGGCAGGGGTTGGAACTGGAAGAGCTTTAAGGTCCCTTCCAACCCAAACTGTTTTGTGATTTAAAACATGAAAAAAAAACACCCCCAAACCAAGTAATGAAACAAATAAACCTATTAAAAAAGTTCAAAAGTAGCTTTTTTATGCCTAAAAATAATGATGAGCTAAAAGCAGAAAGCCATGCAACAGTGTCAGAAGTCACACAGTCAATGTCTTGCTAAAGTCACATTATGCTATTTTCATCTATGGCAGGGAGTGAGGACCAGTTAAGCTTATTATTAAAAAACCCCAAGCCACAACATTGTTTAAAAGCTCCCAGCTCTCATTCAAAGAATGTTTGCAATATGATTGTTATTTTCTATTCTCTGTCATATTCCTTCCAGACATTTGGTACAGTTCAGTATCTTCACTTATACGGAATTCCTGAGTGGAAAGCAGTCAGGAGCATGTAGGAAACCTTGCTGTACACTGTTACAATATTAAATATTAAATAATGGATGTAAAAAGGCCACACAAGAACAAAGACCCCAGTGTGGGGAGTTGACTTTTCCCAAGTGGAATGCATCAGACAACACGTTCTTTCTCATCAGCGCTGGCTGGCCAGCCAAAGACAGACCAGTACTGCTCTTTCAGCAACCCTCTCCCTCTCTCCCAGATGGAACACACCAGCAAAACCAGCTCCAGTTGATGGAAACATGCTAACCCTGCATAACCTCTGGGGACTGCTCTCCTCTTTACACCACGGAAACAATACACCACCTCAGAAACAGCCATGACTGTAAAATAACCGGTTGATGTAAGGTCCCTAATGGGGGCTAAGTCCCAACACAGTGGTGGCAGAGCAGAAAAGTGTGAAAACTCTGTTCTCCACCCCATATGGGTGCCTTACCTTTATGACGTCTTCATCAGCTGACCTGCACTCAGTGAAGTTTGAAACATCGACCACGGACCCATCCTCCTGCACAGCAACCACCTTGACTGGTACAGACACCGTTTTGCCTGTCAGAATGGCCGTGTTGAGGACTTCTGTGTCCTGTAAGCATGAACAAAAATGAAGAATGGGAGTTAGAGAAGCATAAAAGCATGAAAATTCCACAGAGCTCAGACTGACACACCAATACCCTGCCTCTCAAAGGGACAAGAGCAGAGGTGCAGCCCTTCCTTGCACACACTCTTGGAGGTCCCTGCTGTCAATGGTCTGAGACTGCATCTGGACCATCAAGGTCTGTTTCTGATAAACATAGATTGACTCTTTTTAAGCCCATTTTCAGGTCTGGCCGCTACAGCAATAAAATCTGTAACACAGTTACAACACACGAAGGCATATCTACAGCTTGCCAGAACCACAGTGTGATTCAGGCATGACCTTCAGAGGGTGCCAGCAACTCTGCCCACCCCTTGGCCCCAGATCATGCCAGTGATATGAGAGGTGATTATCAATCATTACAATAATGGCATTTCTTCCTCACTGTTACAGCTATCACTGCTGCAAGTTGACCATGTTCCCTTTTTGGGCTATAAATACATGATGGGAAAAACTATGCATGAAGTTGGGTATTACAAACTAAGCAATGCAATCTACATACTTGGGTTTTTTTTTGATCTTTCCCTATCAAAATCCCACCTAGAGATGTTTTACCACATTTATCTCTAATCCTGATGAATTCTCAGTGCTGGCATTCTAATGACTCCATTAGCACAGCCTTCCTCTGCGTCTCAGTACGGCTGCAGTTTGATTAATTACTCCAAATGAGTTGCTACAGAGGTCCCTGCCTTGCATAAGCAGGTATGGAGGTTGGAGGGGAACAGCCTTCAAAGTCCTACGAGCAGCTTGTCTCTATTAAACAGTACTTCTGGCAGGCCTACAACTGGACACACACATGTGGGGCAAGGAATAATCTGTGCTTTCACAGGGATTCAGTTTGGCCTTTTCAAAAAGCCTGCAATAGGAAATGCTGCTTTGAATCAATCCACTTTTCATTTTTCAACTTCCATAAAACTAATTGCTTGCCAGCTGGGGGGGGGGGGGAACTAAAGTTGCTTCAAACTAATCTAACTTTAAATTCCATTATTAGAATTGGTGGAAGAAGAAATGGATTTTAGTGAGAAATTTGATGGCAGCTTGCATAGGGAGATGCATCATTTGCTTCTGTCAGCCAGCTAGATTGATAGAAAATAATGGTCATTGACCACAAGCTTAGGACGGCTGGAGAAGACCAATAAACACTTGCAATGTATTATTAATCAATAGTCGGAAACGTCTACAAAAAGCAGCCTGAATTAAATGAGTTGAAGTACTAATAACACTAGTGCCAGCTAACTAATAGAGTCTACTAGAGCTTTATGGGCAGTCATGTTCCAGGAAAGCATTTAAGCATGTATTCAAGTCCATCTCTGTTCAGAACAGCACTAGAAGTATGTACTCAACTTGACACTTAGACTTCAATGTGATTTAAGCATTTAAGTGTTGTCCTGAATAGAGATGCTTTTCTAAATAATACCTCACAAAATAAATATACTGTCTTTGTTCTGCTCTCTGTGAGGAATAAGCCAGATGTTTTACACATTAAATGCCTGTCTAGGTTTTTTATGCTGAATGGGCTTATTTATAACCAGCTGCCAACCATGAAGGAGGGACACCAGGAAAGAAAGTATGTGACAAAAGGAGAAGTGTAAAAGAACAACTCTAAAAGTTTTACAAAGGCTGAGGTTTGAACTAAACTAAGAGGAAAATGCACTGCCAGGTGAAAGAAAACAATTAGATGTATTTTGGGTGGAAAGAGGTTGTAGAAGACAAGGAAAAACTGAGGGTGCTTCATCCACAAATATGCCAGAGAAGAGGTAGGCAGATTCCAGCAAAACAACAACAAATATCCTATGGGACTTACGAATCCTAAGCCATCATAGAATCAAGGAACAGTTTGGGCTGGAAGGACCTTAAAGCTCCTCCCATTCCAAACCCCCCTCCACAAGCAAGGACATCTTCCACTAGACCAGGTTGCCCCAGGTCCTGTCCAACCTGGCCTTGAACACTGCCAGGGATAGGGCAGCCAATCAACCCAATATAAACATATACCATATATATGATGAAGACACAGTGCTTCTGTGTCAAAACACTGTCAAGAAGCAGTTTACCAGTGTGCTATTTCTAAACCATTCTTCCACAACCGATAGTCTCCTTCAGTGCAGCAAATGAAATAGGCTTTTTGACAAGGTCACACACAATGAACACACAACTAATTCCACTCCCAGGCCTACTCTCTGTTAGCACAGCCCTGTAACATGTCAGTGGAAGGCAGCACTTGCATGCAATTACAGCATCATTAAGGTTGGAGAGGACCCCTGGAGATCATGTGGTCTGATCCAAAGGCCTACTGAGTCAATATATGAAAGGCTTCTTTTGACTTCAGTGGACTTGGAAACAGGTTCTCAACAGGCTCGAACAACTGCTTTGGTTTTTGCGCTCTTGTATCACCTTGTGTGACAAAGAATAAGCACACCCTCTAGCCTCCTTTTAGCTCTCAGTGCTGCTTCACTACCAAGCTGAAGTCAAACTCTGATGCTCTGAAGGATAATGCAAAGTTTATAATGACATTTGCATTCCTTTTGTAAACTCCCTGTGAAGATGAGCATGAGATAAAAGGCCTCAGAAGACACTTCACAACCCTGCTATTTGTGTGTGCTCTGAAATATGCCCATCCTACTCTTGACTCTGAGCTGAACCTTCCCTCCTTCCCAGTGTGAACAGGTACCCACCGTACTAATTAGCTGGTGCTGCTTCACAAAAACCTCACTTCATTGGTAAGCAATTCTATTATATAAATCAGTATTTCAGATGCCTGATGCCTGCATCGAGTGCTACACAAGTATAATAGGCTGCATAAAGACCTTTTGAAGAGCTGGCTATTTGCAGGCTGAAAAAATATATTTCCTCTGAGGAAGAAATATGAAGGCAGAACTGAACTAACTAACTGTCCATTAGATTTATAAAGATTTTTTTTGTGCATCTTCATCAGGTAATATCATTTCATCTAAATCCTGTTAGGTTTGGTTTATATTTCCAGGGTATGTCTCACTGCAGAAGAAAAGGCTTACTGAATTTAAGATACCTCTACTGGTTATTTCTAACAGCATCTAAAATGTAGAGAGGGTAGTAACGTTGATTTACAGAGGCAGGTCCTCCCAGGTGGTACAGCATCAGTGAAACATCTGGAACAATACCCACGGACTCCAACCAGCACAAACCTCTAACTGTTGGCACTGCCAAATCCCAGGTGAAAATCTGGAATTCCCTTCCTATTTCTTTAGTTGAGGGTTTCAGCTGCCAGGTCTTGACCAACACCTTCAATTCAAGCCGGCTGGGTGGAAGCTACACACTCATATTGCAGGCTCTATCCCTGAATAATAATTATGTGCATGTTTATCTCCAGCTCCTTTTCTGTACGTGAATGCATTCGCACTTCAGCGGAGCTCTTCTTAATTACAACTGTAACCTGCTAATAGCATTTCTTTGTTGTCTGAAGGAATCTACTTCTTATCCAGCCTAGGCTAAATTAAAATTTAATACAACATCAGGTCGCAACAGAACTAGGAAGCAAATGACAGCTGTTTAATTAAAACCTAAAGCTGATTAGATGGCACTGCTGAGAGAAATACTCTAAAGGAAGAGCAGAAAACTACTGAAACTCAAGGCCAGGATAATGGCTTTATTTAAATATGAATAAACGCCGCAGCACAGGCATAGTAAATGTTTGACAACTCACTGCTTTGGAGAAACGGGAGGGGAAATGTGAATAGGAGAAGTGTCAGGAGTCATGAGAGAGCTGGGATTACCTATGCATGTGACCAGAAGCAGGGATTACTGAGGAATGACTGCAACAGGTAGACACAAACCAGTTGAGTAACTCCGGACACAAAGTTCCCAGTAATTAGGGTTTAAACACCACCACATCGACATAAATGCTCCTTAGGCATGCGATTCTATGGCAGCTCACCCAGCTTCTGTGAGCTGACATGACATATGTCAGCCCCTTCTTCTGCTTGAGAAATAAAGACATGGAGAAACAGCTTATGCACCTCACAAGAAAGCATTTCAGGAGCCAAGACCTGGGCAGGTCCTTGACCCCAGCCCAAAGCCGCCAGTGCATCTCCCCTGCCCCTCCAGGAAGAGTCAGCATCATTTCCACAAGTCTGAAGGGGCACAAAAGCCCCACGCTGATCCAGTTTACTATGACAGATATCACCCTTGCGATTAATGCACAAACTGGTTGGGTTTTTTTAGAGGTTAACAAAACATGCTACAGTACAGTAAACCCAATAAACAGTCAATTGTAAAGCAGGAGGGAAACCTAAAGCCAACCCTATTCCACTGACAAATGCTACAGCTAAATGCCTTTTGGCATTTAGTTGACATCACTGTCTCCAATGAAGAAGGCACACAGCTGAAACATTTGTCTGCGGAATTGCATTCCTTCATTATTATTTTTTTCCCCAGAGTGTACCTCGTGAAAATACATGTGTATTATTAGAAGGGATCTTTAGGAACCAGTTCTCCTGCCTGGAAACAGCACCTCTTAAGACATGTAAATTATAGGGCAGATTGTGACATGTGGGCTGGGCTAGGGGAGGTTTTTATATTTGATAAATTATTCACCACCTTTTTCTTCAGATCAAAGAGCAAGGCTATATAAGTCCATTAAGCAAGCTTAATATATAAATTAGATACTTTGCTGAAATTATTATAATCCAAAGCAATTCTGTACTTTCCCCCCCCCTCAGAGCTGAATACCATTTTAGGTTTCCAATACATATTAATGAAGCCTGGCTGCCAGAAAGCTACTGTTACATCAGGTAAGATTTACCATTTTGTCACCTAATGGTGGGAACAAACAACTGGAATGATGAGTTCATGGAACATCAGACAACATAACCTTGCAAAGAGCTCACATTGTTGTCCGACCCTTTTTTCCTCCCCACATGCATACAGACAGTCCACACTACACCTAGGAGCCAGACCCCCAGTAATGCTAGCAG